TACTTTTTGGGGCTTTCCCTCCTTAGTCAGGGGGGCAATGATGGCTTTTTTTACAAATGTCTGGAGGACAGTCTTTCCCATGATTGATTTCTACTGAGCCAGCCTGAGAGACCATTTAAAGGCTCAGGAAGCCTTTGTTATGGATTCATTAGCTGATTAGAGTGGGACACTTTGAGCCTAGAATATTGAACCTTTTCACACTATTCTAATTTTCTGAGATTGTGAATTTGGGGTTTTCATAAGCTGTACGCCATAATCATCACAATTATACCAAAGTAAGGCTTGACATATCTCGCTTTGCATGTAATGCGTCTATCTCATATATTGGTTTCACCTTTTGAGTTGCCTTACTGACATAAATGAACATTTGCACGATATTCTAATTTTTCGAGTTTCACCTGTATAGGTAAGAAACAAAACTAATATAAACTAACCTAATAAATTACAGAGGGAAAGGAGGACGAAAAGCAGCTTAGCCTTAAGAGTTAGATCAATCAATAGAAAAATAGGCTAAGATAATTTTTTTAAAAAATACTGGTTAAAAGAAAATGGTTGGAAGCATAGAATAATGCTAATATGGCAATACAAATATTATATCCCCCCTTTCCCCATGGAGTAAAAATAATGTGCATGATTACCACATGTTTAATAATGAAATAAGTTAGTGACTGACTCAGGTCATCCAGCAAAGAATGGGAAATGGGTGGTTGTTATTTGTTGGTCAGTCACAGATAACAAGAATCAGAACCAGCTCAAAGTAGAGGACAGAACAGCCCTAAAAAACCTAAAGAAGGACCAAACCATCATCATCCTCCCAGCAGATAAAGGCTGAACCACAGTTATCACGGATAAATCACAATACTGTACATACAAAAAGCCAAAAAATTACTGGAGGACAAAGAAGCCTACATCCCAGTAAACAGCAACCCAATACAGAAACTAGACAACCTGATCAAGAGAACCCTTAGTGACATTACCAAGAAAGGCCATATCACAAAAGAAGAGTGGCAGATGAAAGGCAGTGGACCCATCCTACGCTTCTATGGACGACCAAAAATACGCAAACCCGACATACCTCTCTCACCAATTGTATTGTTACCAGGGTTCCCAACATACAACATAAGTGAAAGAACTGACAAAAAAGCTTGGACATCTCACAGAGGGGAGCGAATATTCTATCATAAACTCCCCACTATAGTGCTTCCAGAAAATCAAAGATGTACAAATAGATGAAGATGAAATTATGGTCTCATTTGATATCACAGGACTCTTTACATCCATATACCCAGAACTAGTGAAAGAATCCATGTCAGTACTACCCAACACACCTGACCTAACCAAATACACCAAGATCGAAATACCCAGAATCATGGATCTCATCAACCTCTGCCTCATTGCCTATTTTCAGTTTGATGGACAAATATACCAATAAGTCAAAGGTATACCCACGGGGTCACCACTCTCAGGACTCAGAGATTGTAATGCAACGCCTAGAAGCTACAGCACTTCCCCACATACAACCTAAAGTATGGATCTGGTATGTAGATGACACATTTGTTATAAAAAAGAAACAACTAGAGAAGACACATGAAACTCTTAACAGCATCGTCAAAGGAATAAAATTCACCAGAGAGGAAGAAAACAACAACATGCTACCCTTCCTGGATATCCTCATCAGCAGAGGAAAGAACAGGAAATTAGAAACCCAAGTTCATTGGAAGACAATCCACACTGATCCATTACCAAAGTAACAGCCCAACCTCCCACAAGAGGAGGTGTGTAAGAACATTATTCAAGCGAGCACGAACGCATTGCAGTGACCCAGAACAGCAGAAAAAAGAAAAAGACCACCTATACAACATT